ATGCATAGCTGAGGGCAGGGGAAGGGATGCTTAAGTTGGCATTGGTCCTGGAAAACATGACTGTCATATTATGCTGTCACCAGTATTTCTGAAGAAAATTTAGACTACAGGGTTGAGTATTTCAGATCTAACAATGAGTGGGTTTTTTGCCTGTCCCAGCCACTCCCTCCTTGAAAACAGAGTTAGTTTTCTAGACTGCACAATAGCTAAAATCTTTAGCTTAACAGTTGTGCCAATATAAATTTTGAATTGTAATCTCTTTCATCAAGTAACACTCTTTGAATCAAAACATCTTCTTTTGAAGAAAGCATATGCTTTTCTTTATTTTTTTCTCATACTCAGAAAGCTTTAAAAAAAAAAAAACTCCAACAATTTGACTCAACCTATTTTTTTTTTTTTTTTTGAGTTTGTGGCATTTTCTGTTGCTTTCTGAAAAATTCAAAATAACTGAATAAAATTCTTGCCAACTCTAGATCTGAGAAGGCTAAAGAATGCATGATTGCTCCTACGTGGACATTCTTTTATTCTTTGACAGGGATATGAGCTAACTTTGCAAATAAGATACAGTCTGGTTGCTAATATAATTAGGTTGTTTATTCAGTTCCAGAGATGCACTTTCTCACAAGTCAAACCCTGAACTAGCAAAAATATTAGCTGCTGCTACAAGCAGCACTGCAAACCCTGAGAGTCTGTACATGGCATCTGCAATGCCCTAAGGATAGAAGAGATGGGTGGGAAATACAGAAGAGACTAATGTGCTTCCAGCCTGTCCTACCACGGGACAAATTCTTCGTTTCTCTCCTAAGCTTTTCTTATATCCTTTTACTTTATGGACATTATTTAATATTTGAAAGGTTCTTAGCAATCTCTGCATGAAAGCACTAGGCAAAGTATTAATTCATGTTTCTATAATTCATAAGTTTTACTTGTACTGTCTGGTCTGAAAGGTGTAACTGTAACAGTTTAAAATTAAGTAAGAACATCTTATTTTCCTTGGGAAACTCATAACTTGAGCTGAAAAACAAAGTATTCTCATATCTTACATAACAAAAGAAATGAAATTACTTTGTTGGGTTTTTTTAATTCTTCCTTTCTAAAGCGTTTTTTATCTTTACCTTTCAAAGACAGATAAAGTTAAATATAGTTATGATGTTAGGCCTAGATCTTAATTGTTTTTTCATCCATGGAAGTTTAGTAGACAGAAAGAAAAATCAACATCTTGTTGCTCGTTATCTTGTTGCCAGCTGCATTACACAGTCAGCAATGCTATACCAGTATCTCATTATCATATCTCACTATCAGCTCTGTTGGAATTCTTATGTTATCTGGACTCTAGGAAATGAATATGATGAAACAGTTAATAAAAATATGAAGGAGAGTAGGACTTAAGAATAAGGTGTCCTAAAAAATCGAGGAAGTTTTTAAAGCTGTTCTCCTACAAGTCTGTTCTCTCAGAGCTGAGAAACCTGTAGAACAGCCAAAGCATCAGCCCACTGCACTGCACTATTCTGGAAAGAGCCTTTTCACATTTTGTGCAAATGCACAGAGATAATGATATGGCTATAAAGTATAATATTAGCTCATATTAGCTCATCACTCATACTGCAAGTGCAAAAACAAATAAATGACTGTTTTACTAAAACAAAAAACTAACAAAAAAAACACCACCAACAACAAAACACCGCAACTCCAACAAAAAAGCAAACACCATAAAACATGTGGCAGCAGGGACAGTATGGGTACAAAAGTCAGCAGTGTCAAACAAGGTTCTCTAAGCACAGTTGCTTTCCATGATTGCAAAGATTAACAATCAAAGAGGTAGCATCCATACATTTCAAGTGAGGCATAGATAAATGTTTGCATTTTTAAGATAATGGGCAGTGCAAGAATGAGTAAAATATTTTTTCCTTTATGACAGTGTGTACATAGTCTGGGATCTTTCAGGTGATGGTAATCCTGATACCCCAGGTCTTAAGAGCTCATTGTTTTTTCTGCTCGCTCTGTGTTCTGCCTATCTTGGTATCACAGCTTCACAGGTGATAATGAAATGGCACTTTTGTCAAGGACATTTAATTTGAATGTTGTCAACAACCACACAAAATCAAGTTAAAGCACAAACCAATAACCTCTCCATTTGCAGCCCAAGCAATACTGTCAAAATACAGAACACACAATAAAAAGCAGCCAAAGCTGCTGAAGGTGCTAAAGTGATGCCACAGTTGATGTCTACTAACTTTTGATGTCTACACAGGTGATATCTACTAATTTGGTTGTAATGAGGATATTATAACTGATATCAAAAAGTTGAGAAGACAATATTTTTTCCCCTTTTAGAAGCTGCAAGGTTTGGAATGACACACTACTTAACTCCATAGCCTTGAAATTAATCCAGGATTATTCAACTGCATGAAAATTGTTAGAAGACTGGAAACAACATCCCACACTCTGTCTTTTTATTGTAACCTTCCTTATAATATCATCTTGCAGTGAAACCTGAATATCCTAATGGGATTAAACATGAAAGAAAGTCAGGAAAAAGTTACTGGATTAGAATTTTAACTGAAGCCTTCTGTGAGAAAGACCACACCACTGTCAGTGACCTTTCTCTCCCCATGTGTGATCCCAGCTGTGCCTAGTCAAGTGCCCAAAGCAGACTCCATCAGTTCATGCTGTATTTATCCTTTAGCTCCTAAAACAGGTGTCTTATTATTAAGAGAATAAGCTTTCATGCTATCGATCAGGGTGTATTAACTGACCCTGCAAAAGTGCATAATGTTCTCTGGTATGAAAAGCAGAATGTGATGATGCTGTTTAAGACATGAGTTTTGCATTGATAAAAAAAAATCATAATGAGCAAAAATCTGTTCTAGGAAGTAGGGAAAAGTGGGGGGGAGGGGAAGTGCAGGCTTTTGAATGTGCTAGAATGCCATTGCTATCTCTAGCTCCAGCCTTTGTTTGTTTTTTAAATGCACTCTGATAAGTTTGCCTTTATATATCTAAAAAAAATGTTTTAGAATCTCATACTGTATCTTCACAGCCCTCATTAGATACCACAAGAATGCTTTTCATCTCATTTTTACTCTAAACTCCTGAAGTCCTCCCTCACTCTGAACAATTATATTAAGTAGGGAGCAGTTATTCACAGATGGGCAGAAAACTAAGTTCAATCAAAAGAAACTTCTAAAACTTTCCATTTTTATCATTCTAGATCTCCTTGCCTTTGCAGTGCTTCAAAAGATTCATACTCAGTCTCATAAATACGATCATAAAACATTAACAACAGTGTAAACTCTAGTGTGGGAGGATATGTATGAGGTTGAATTCCTGTTCCTACACTCAGACACATGCTCCAAATGAGGCAACAAGAGGAACTTTCCTCACATCTTTCCAGCCAGTGTGTTCTCCTAGTAATGTAACTCCAGCTCAACCTATTGTTGCTCTCCTTTTCATACTAATTGAAACACCTGAAATTAAATCTTAGGTATTAATTTGCTTTTTTTTTTTTACTGTAGCAACTACTACATCTAGTGCTGAACCAGTAAAAAGAGCAAGAAGATAGTCCTTGACCTTTTGTAAGATTAGTGTAAGAGAATAGCTAGACAGCACCATAATCAGATATGCGGATCAGCAGTCAGTAGGCCATGACTACTCCATGCATTTTATCTGACAGTTCTGATTTGCAGATTGAGGTAATTATTGTCAACATACAATTTCCTATCAACATTTATAATCTCTTTGGCTCCTGTTTTAAAGCCCCAGTTCTTATTTCTCCTAAAGAAAAAAAAAAAAAAGCCTCTTGATCTGTCCCAACACATAAAATGCTCTGCCTTCTCCCGCCCTGGTCTCCCAACCTCTTTTGTAGTATACAGAAAGAAAACAGAGTAGGGACATAAAGTTTACAAAAAGGATGTATTGATATACAAAATTCTCCACAGAGAAGATAAATGAGACATTTGACATGAACATGAATGACAGTTTCAAAAATCCAATTCCTGGTTGCAGAATTAATTGCGATGAAATATATTCATCCTGGATGCTCTAATAATAGGAGCACATTTAATCTGCCTTTTAATTCGCCAAACCTTTAATCTGCCTAAAATTCCATAGACAAAAGCCTTTGATTATGATTTACCATGTCACTTCCCTCTTTGAATCAACTGGCTTATCTTTGCGCACCATATCAAGTACCAAAAATTTAGTGCTCAAACTCTGTAATCTAAACAGCACTGCTCCAGTGTGTCCCAGGTTTTCTGTCTTACAAAAAATAACACCATAGTTTCATGAACAGAAAGCTTCACTGTTCCTTTCTTTCATTATCTTTCTTCCAATTCTGTGTCTAATTCAGACTCAGCTCCCATTTTTTCATCAAAGAGATCCACTGCTTCCTAAACACTGTCATTTGTTAAGAGTCATTATTTGCATTCCCAAACTTATATTTGGATAAATGTGCTGTAAGCAACAATCATCCCTTCCTAAGGAATCATCAATGGGTTGTTTCCACTATGTTTTTTGGTCTTCTAGAATAAACACATTTCATTCATAAATTATCTAGCAGCATTTGTCTTGAGCACTGATAAACACACTGTCATCATAAATAACTTTCCTGGTAAAAGGATTTCGATGGCTCCAATGCCATAAATACATAGTTATGAAAACTGTACTCTGCCCACTCCACTGTACAGAGGGACTGTTTTATCACAAGCAAACAACAGCTCTCTGGTGAGTAAGGTTTGCTGACCAAAGTAAGGATTAATTAACCTGGAGTTCTCAAATACATAGTAACTGTTACAGGTATTTATGCTGGATTTACTTTTTATATCCAAAGCGCTATGTAAATGTTGTATTTCATAAATTTATAGCATTTAGAAGTCATATTTTAATGTCACCAAAACTTACTCTACACCAACTTTGGCCCATGTACACTAATGTATCCCACTGGATGAACAGAAACCAGTTAAATTCACTATTAAATTGCACAGCAAAAAAAATAGAGACAATACCTGCACAAACCCACACATCATGTAGTCATCAAACAAAGGCAGACTAGGGCGGTCTTCTCGATATATTGTGATTTTGTAGCTGCTCACAACCTGAGGGCTGGGCTGCGAATCATCTGTTACAAGAACAATGACTTTGTTCAATCCAAGGCCAAGGGGGTAGTTAGCAATGCTGGAAGGCAAAACAGGAAAGGAGTGGAACACTAAAGATACAAAGATTTACACTGCTTTATATATGGCAGATAAAATTTCACAGTATCACAGTATCACAGTATGTTAGAGATTGGAAGGGACCTCAAAAGATCATCTAGTCCAATCCCCCTGCCGGAGCAGGAACACCTAGATAAGGTTACACAGGAACGTGTCCAGGCGGGTTTTGAATGTTTCCAAACAAGGAGATTCCACAACCTCCCTGGGCAGCCTGTTCCAGTGTTCCGTCACCCTCACTGAGAAGAAGTTTCTTCTCAGGTTTAAGTGGAACCTCTTGTGCTCCAATTTGTACCCATTACCCCTCGTCCTTTCATTGTTTGCCACTGAGAAGAGCCTGGCTCCATCCTCGTGACACTCCCCCTTTATATATTTATATACACTAATAAGGTCACCCCTTAATCTCCTCTTCTCCAAACTATAGAGACCCACCTCCCTCAGTCTTTCCTCATAAGGGAGATGCTCCACTCCCTTAATCATCTTAGTTGTAAATTAAAATTTACTTGCTCCTTGAGGTTCCTATTTCTAACATTTTCTTTTTCTTTCAAAATACATATGACTTTAAATAAAAAACAGTGTAAAATAAGATTTGTCACAATTTACATTTCTTTCAGGAAAACTAAACACCAGTAGTGAAACTTAATGGTAACAATGTCAATGGCAACAATTCTGACATGGAATCTGTGAATGAAGGGAAATAAATGCTGAAAGACACAGAACCTGCATATTTACTTTTCAATGTAAATTCCATATTGCTATTCTATTTTCCTTCTACAAGAAAGTAAGTTTTTTTCACATGTATCCATGTTGACTGCCAAGGCAGTTAACATTAAAGCTGGTTTTAGTTAACACTAAAGCTGGGTGGAAGAATTTTAGGGGAGCTTCTTTTGAATTGATAAATCAAGACTCATTTCCTTTAGAAAACAGAGAAAGCATATTAGGCATTAGATCAGTAACAACCATCCAGTCTGGTTAATAGCAGACATTCTAGGTCAAAGCATCTGCTTCATAGTCAGTCAAAAGAGAAGGCTGTGTGGAGACCTCATAGCAGCCTTCCAGTATCTTAAGGGGGCCTATAGCGATGCTGGGGAGGGACTCATCATTAGGGACTGTAGTGATAGGACAAGGGGTAACGGGTTAAAACTCAAACAGGGGAAGTTTAGATTGGATATAAGGAGGAAATTCTTTCCTGTAAGGGTGGTGAGGCACTGGAATAGGTTGCCCAGGGAGGTTGTGAATGCTCCATCCCTGGCAGTGTTCAAGACCAGGTTGGACAGAGCCTTGGGTGACGTGGTTTAGTGTGAGGTGTCCCTGCCCATGGCAGGGGGGTTGGAACTTGATGATCTTAAGGTCCTTTCTAACCCTAACTATTCTTTGATTCTATGATTCTAAAACACAGTGCATTGCATAAGCCCTTCATTCCATGAAGCAAAGCTAGCTCTGTAATGGTTAAGGATTCTTCCCCCTAAGTGCATCATTGTCCCTGCTCTCCCTTTCATCCATTCACTAATGGCTAGTATGTAAATAGGACAGTTGCCTAGTTCTGAATTACCTGACCCAGATAAATAAACCCTCTTTGTCCCTCCCAACATCCAAAACCAAGTCATGCCCAAAATACCTATTGCGATTGTTCCTGGCACATGCTGTCTGTGAGAAAGATGGTTGGGAAAGACAAAACTGTGCCAGGGATCAGAGTAGCTATTAAACATCATGGATGATTGTGTTTCAGTGCTCAAACCTGATGTTTAGTGATGACTTTGCTCTCTACCTTGTCTTCTGGCTTTATACTGTTCTAAAAGATCAGATAAACTGGGACTCTTGCTGATGACAAGGTGACCTACTTAGTAGAAGAGGGAAAGGCTGTTGCAGTTGTTTATCTGGACTTTAGTAAAGCCTTTGATGCTTTCCTAGAGCATTCTCCTGGAGAAACTGTCTTCACATGGATTAGATGGGTGTACTTTTTGTTGGGTAAAAATCCGGCTAGATGGCCAGGCTCCAAGAGTGGTGGTGAATGGAGTTAAATCCACTTGATGCCAGTCAAAAGTGGTGTTCCCAGGGCTCAGTAATGGGGCCAGCTCTGTTTAATATCTTTATCAATTATTTGGATGAGGGGATCAAATGCACCCTCAGTCAGTTTGTAGATGACACCAAGTTGGGCAGGTGTGTTGATCTGTTTAATGGTAGAAAGGTACTAGAGAGGGATCTAGACAGGGTAGATCAATGGGACAAGGCCAACTGTATGAATTTCAAAAAGGCTCAGCTCCGGAACCTGCACTTCGATCACAACAACCCCATGCAATGCCATAGGCTTAAGGAAGAGTGGCTAGAAAGCTGCCTGGTGGAAAAGGACAGGGGGTGTTGGTCGATAGCCAGCTGAATGTGAGCCAGCTTGTGCCCAGCTGGCCAAAAAGGCCAATAGCATCCTGTCCTGTACCAGAAGTAATGTGGCCAACAGGACTAAGGAAGTGACTGCCCCCTGCACTCAGCACTGGTGAGGCTGTGTCTTGAATACTGTGTTAAATTCTAGGCCACTCACTACAAGAAAGACACTGAGGTGCTGGAGTGTGTCTAGAGAAGGGCAATGAAGCTTGTGAAGGAAACATAAAACAATTCTGTAATATTTTGATGTATTTCCAAAGTTAAGGACACTTTTATTCTTTACACTCATATTTTGTCGCTCATACCTTGGCCCTTTCTTCTCATCAAGATGTACTTTGCATTGACAGTTAGAAGGTTCTGCTCCTATCTTCACCGTCACCATGTCAAATGGGACTTCTGCATAGTATTCTTTGATCTTTGGGTTAAATTGAGGATTCAGGTCCAGCTGTGGACTGGTGAAGATCTGCCTGATATGAGATAGGGTATCTTTATCTGTTCCAAGAAGGCATCAAAGAAAAAACTGTGAAATGTATGGACATTTCTAAGTAATATGCAACTTCTGGCAGATTGATAACATATACAGTGACAAGATTTTTAATGCCTGATCATTCTGATACTGATAAACCTGCTGCAAGGTCTTAATGGATTTTCTATTGGCATTTCATAGAAGTTTTTTGAGCTTGGAGGGATTTTAATCATTCAGTGCCCAATGACTCTAGCCAAAGTCACAAAACTCAAAGTCTTAGTAAGCCCTTGAAAATGCAAGGATTAAGTCTGGGAGATCTTGGCTCCAGCTGGTTAACTGAAACTTGAAGAGTCAGGCCAAAATTCATAACCTACTTAGGTACCAGCCTGTGTACAGGGTTTATGTACATGTTCAATTGCCAATAATAATTGAAATAACTTAGACATATTCCTAATGCTCATGAGAACAAGTCACATGGAAATATCTAGACCCATGGGGTCATTTGCAGTACAGCTGGAAGAAAGTTTTATTAAAATTCCTAAATCAACAAATTCCAGCTCCTTCCCTGTGTATGAAACCTCCACAATCAAATCCTATTTGCTCAAATGTATCCTTTATTTTGTAGTCTTTGCCAAATGACTCATGAGAATAATTATTTGCTAGCTACCCACTTATGATAACTATTTTAATCCAACCTACTGGATTCAGATTTACAGCATAATTACACATTCAAAAGTTGCTTTTCACATATATTCTCTAGTACAGGTTTAAAGCTGAGTACTTCATAAAATATTCCAGCCAAAAAACAATTTTACTATAACACCCCAAAAAATCTTGTGGTTTAAAATACAGCTTAGAAGAGGCATAAATGATGCAAGCAGTTCTATGAGGGCCTTTTCTACCTTGAAATATCTGTCATGAGAAGTGCAACAGGGCAATTTGAGCACTCTCTTGCATGGATTAAAATGTAAAGGAAGCTATTCCAGTGGAAAAGCAGGTTAGACTTGTAGGGGAATGGAGGTTCATAAGTTGACACAAAAGGTATTTTAAAAAATTCTGTAGGTGAGTATAAAGAGTTCTCCAGTTCCTCTATGCCTTACCTAGAAAGGTTGTCTCACTACTAGCTTAAAAAATAGGAGGAATTTTCTAAATAAAACTAATTGAGGCATTTTCAAAATCAAATATCATGGAATTGGAATGGTGAGGAGAGTCAGCCAGTCCAGGAGCATTTCTGGACTCAGACTGACACTGAGGAATTCCTGGAGGCACCGTGAGATGAGCAACAGAGGTGAAATAGGGCTCAATGGGTAGTCTTTCTGCCACAGAGCAGTTGTTTTGCATTTATAAAGCAACTGCTCAGACCATGTGTCAATGAGGAAGGCAGCAGAACGCATTGCTCCCACCAAAGACAAATATACTTTTAAGCTTTAAGCATCCTTAAATACCCTTTAAATATTCCTACAAGCAGGTATTTTAGAAAAAGTCTTCATCTCTTAAGCAGCTCTCTAAAACCCCACCACTGAGCTGAAAACTGACCTTATACAAGGCTGATTAAACTCCATGCAAGTTTAAAGAGCATTCCACAACAAAAAAATGTATGCTAAAGTTCTTGGAAATAAGGGGCAAAAGTCTATTGAAGTGCGGCAAGGGATCAATGAATGATGGAATACTCACATTAACATGTACACATAGCAATGTTTAATTTTATGCTTGAGGCTTATTTAACATAATAGCCCAATTATTGAGTGTTTTATAAACATTCTTGCTACTTAAGAATACTTTTTAAAAATTTTTTATATATAACAGCCCACAGGCACTGCACTCATCCCTTTCATGCAGAAACCCCTCCCCCAAGGAGTTTGTTCAAGTAATCACTCTTCTTCCCCCTTAGTGGTCTAGAAAGACCCTGACTTACCATAATTGCATTGTCTTTCTTTAGTCTTACTGGAATAATGCAGTGCTGAAATAGAAGCAGAAACAATTAATAATTTTCTGCTCTGAGCCTGATTCAAAATCCTATTGTAGAAGGAACTTTCATTGTGTTAATAACAAAAAATACAGTGTACTTTCATGCTTTTTATTTCTTTTATTCTTTTTTTCATTTTAGACTCGAACACTGCTCATGGGCTCAGCAGAATTTACACCAGTAAGGAAGAAACTGGTCTTCTATATGTAGTAAGCCAAGAACTTTCATCTAAAATGCAACACAATGTAATCTAAATCAAATACATTATCAGAAGTAGTACAAATAGGAAGAACATACCGTATATAACAGACCTTACTCTGATCCCTTACCATCATGATTCTTCCTGAAGTCAGAAGGAACATTCTGCTTAGGACTTGCATTTTCTTGAGAAGGACTCCTGCCAATTCAATAGCAGACATATTTCTATATGAATGCAATTAACATAAACCATAGAACATTTTTCAAAAATTTCTATCTGGCATCCCAGGTCCCATGGTATTTTAACATTCTCAATGGAAAGATGAACCTTCTGGAATCATTTCTCAGCATTAGCTACGTTCCCTGAATGAACATGATAGAAAACACACATTCCATAATAAATGGTAGCATATCACATGAAAAAAGAAAACCAGAACTAAATTACAAAACACAGTTGAATTGGTAGGGAAAGAAAGAGTAGATATAGCTAAGAGTAAAATAACCCAAGCCATATCTCTTAACTGTTTGTATAATGTTTGTAATGGGGGTGGTTTATATATATTTGAGTTTAAAGTTCAACTTTGTTCAAAAAGAACTAAACTGAAGGGAAGGCCTGTGTCAAGGTGAATACCTGTACCGATGTTAGCATGAATTCATATAATGGAGCATCTATGATGTGTTTTAATTTGTTTACTAATTCAAAACAAATCACATTATTAGCATCCAGTGTATACATATAATTCCTCAGTGAAAAAAAAGAAGTCAACTGGACCTCTGGCTGATAAGACCTTTTCAGGGGTTCATTAGTATTTCTTGAAGCTTTCACATGTTTTCCTCTCAGTATGTATAAGTTCTCATAAAGCAGCTTCTTCCTGGATACCACTGCCCATACATTTTGCATTTTGAAAGTCACTGTCCCAAGGAATGAGATAGCAATATAGTTCTGTACAATCAGCCATCACTAATGTTTCAACAGGAGCTGCTGAAAGCAATAGTGAGGTCAACCATGGTAAAAGGTAAACTGTTCAATAATACAACAGAGATTTCTGCATTATCTCAATAAGGAAAGAAGCAGCTCTGTCTCTGTGTCTCTGTGTGTGCATGAATATGTAATTTTGAACTTACAGTATCTAGACACCGCCCTAATTTCATGCACATTCATGACCTACTTCAAAGGAGAAAATTAACAAGCTATTAAAGAAGATATTTTTCCAAGTTATAAGATATCTTACACCCCTCTTTCTGCTTGCCAAGGAGGTAATGACTAAACTTATCAAATATACGTTTTCTCCCTGCTGTTCCATGTTGATTGCCCAGTCCCAAACCCTGTTTTAAGGTGAAAACAAGACGTCTTAATTCTATGAAATGCCAGACTTTGGTTTAGCCAGAGGACATCTCAGGAGAGTGGCAGTGTGTACCACATTGCAAAGTCCTGCATCCCAAAGCAATCATAGAAACATAGAATAGTTAGGGCTGGGAAGGACCTTAAGATCATCAAGTTCCAACGCCCCTGCCATGGGCAGGGACATGTCACACTAGACCATGTCACCCAAGGCTTCGTCCAACCTGGCCTTGAACACTGCCAGGGATGGAGCATTTACCACCTGTTTGGGCAACCCATTCCAGTGCCTCACCACCCTTACAGTAAAGAACTTCTTCCTTATATCCAATCTAAACTTCCCCTGTTTAAGTTTTAACCCATTACCCTTTGTCCTATCACTACAGACACTAATAAAGAGTCCCTCTCCAGCATCCTTAAGGCCCCCTTCAGATACTGGAAGGCTGCTATGAGGTCTCCATGCAGCCTTCTCTTCTTCAGGCTTAACAGCACCAACTTTCTCAGCCTCTCTTCATATGGGAGGTGCTCCAGTCCCCTGATCATCCTCATGGCCCTCCTCTGGACTTGTTCCAGCAGTTCCATGTCCTTTTTATGTTGAGGACACCAGAACTGCACACAATACTGCAAGTGAGGTCTCACGAGAGCAGAGTGGAGGGGCAGGATCACCTCATTCGACTTGCTGGTCACACTCCTTTTGATGCAGCCCAGGATACAGTTGGCTTTCTGGGCTGCAAGCACACACTGCTGGCTCATGTTCATTTTCTCATCGACCAGCACCCCCAAGCCCTTCTCCACAGGGCTGCTCTGAATCTCTTCTCTGCCCAGCCTGTAGCTGTGCTTGGAATTGCTCTGACTCAGGTGTAGGACCTTGCACTTCGCATGGTTAAACTTCATGAAGTTGGCATCAGCTCACCTCACAAGCGTGCCAAGGTCCCTCTGGATGGCATTCCTTCCCTCCAGTGTATCAACCGAACCACACAGCTTGGTGTCATCAGCAAACTTGCTGAGGGTGCAGTCAATCCCACTGTCCATGTCAGTGACACAGATGTTGAACAAGTCTGGTCCCGATATCGATCCCTGAGGGACACCACTCGTTACTGGTCTCCAGCTGGACATTGAGCCATTGACCAAAACTCTTTGCGTGTGGCCAGCCAGCCAGTTCTTTACCCACCGAGTGGTCCACCTATCAAATTGATATCTCCCCAATTTAGAGACAAGGACGTCGTGCAGGACAGTGTTTAATATTTTGCACAAGTCCAGGTAGATGACATCAGCTGCTCTACCCCTGTCCATCAGTTCTGTAGCCTCATCATAGAAGGCCACCAAATTGGTCAGGCAGGATTTCCCCTTGGTGAAGCCATGCTGGCTGTCACCAAGCACCTTGTTGTTCTTCAAGTGCCTTAGCATTCCTTCCAGGAGAATCTGCTCCAAGATTTTGCCAGGCACAGAGCTGAGACTGACTGCTCTGTAATTCCCTGGGTCATCCATTTTCCCCTTCTTGAAAATGGGGGTTATATTACCGTTTTTCCAGTCGTCCAGAAAATGGCATGACCTGTACGTATCAACTTGTAAGGAGATTGCAATTATTATCAGGCAACATTAAGAGCCATATAACTGCTGTAATTACAGCAGGATATTGAACTGTAATATTTAGAAGTGCTATTACAGCTAGATATTCAGATTACTGTATTTACAGAGAGACACTTAGCTTACAGTGTGGCCAGCAAGACTAGGGAAATTGTTGTTCCCCCACTGGTAAGGCCACACCTCAAACCCTGTGTTCAGTTTTCTGACTCTCACTACAAGAAAGACATTGAGGCGCTGAAGCATATTCGAAGAAAAGAAGTGAAGCTGGTGAAGGGTCTGAAGAGCAAGTTTTATGAGGAGCAGCTGAGGGAAGTGGGGTTCTTTAACCTGGAGAAAAGGAGGCTCAGGGGAGACATCACTCTCTACAGCTATCTGAGAGGAAGTTGTAGCAAGGTGGGTGTTGGTCTCTTCTCCCAGGTAACAAGTGATAGGACAAGAGGAAACAGCCTCAAGTTGCACCAGGGGAAGTTCAGATTGGATATTAAGAAAAAAATCTTCACCAAAAGGGTTGTTAAGCACTGGAACAGGCTTCTCAGGGAAGTGGTTGAGTCACTATCCCTGGAAATATTTAAAAGATGGGTAGATGTGGCACTTACGGCCATGGTTTTGTGGTGGACTTGGCAGTGCTAGGTTAATTTCTGGACTCAATATCTTAAAGGTCTTTTCCAATCTAAATGGTTCTATGATTTATCTCTGCTGAAAACCAGGCTTTTTAATCATCATCACCATCAAGTACTCCTTTGTCCAAGCTCCTTGTAGTCAGCAGACTGAGGGATGATGCAGTTACAAAGCTCTTCTTCAGGCAGGCAGTGCCTGAGATCCTGGACTCTGCAGAGTCCTTTTCTTCACACAGTTACCCAAGAAAGAGCCTTCATCTTTATGAGTGGCCTCTTGTTTATTATCTTGGAGGAGCTATCAAGCACAGACATACACACTGCCTATTAGAGCTAATGAAACTAATGACTGTCAGGTACCCTAGGTGACTCCATGCTTGTGAATCTACACAGGGATTTTTCAAAAGGTAGATAAAAAAGGAAAAAATGTAGTCACTTTTGTGGTCTCCAGTGCATGTGTTACTTGTGGATGGTGCAATTCTTAATAGGTCATAAAGAAAAAATTGATATTTCAGTATTCAGCAGAGTTACGAATTTTATTTCTTTATATAATGTTTTCTAGGTCTCTCAAAAATGAGAAGCCACCGGAGTTAATTTTGTGAGACATGATCACTAGCAATTTTTTTCAGTTCGATTAACCAGCAATGTGAGCTCTCTGTTTTGTAGTGTTTTCATGGCCTCAGTCACAGAGGGCATGCAGTTCACCAAATGAAGTATCTTGTGCTGATCTTCCAAAGAGAAATACAAAAGAACAAACTGAAGAATGGGATTGGTTTCCTCGCACTTAATCCCAACTTTCCTCCTTCTCTGTCTCTCATTCCTCCCATTGCAGATCAGTGATCTTATCCAGACTTCCTTGCTGTTGTTTTCCTCTGCCCCACAGGCCAAACCATGTTTGTTTCTCAAACTGCCCAGGTGCATGACCAGGTTAAACTCCAAGAAAGTATTTCCAACCCAAATTCAGTTTCCAGGCTGCTGCTTCTATTTTGGCCTGTACACACAGGACGCTAGTAGCACTTTCTCAAATATATCAGTTGATTTCATTAAAGCATTTACAACTTTATTGACCTGCTTAGGCTTCTGTCTTCTGCAAATACAGAGGGGTTAGCTTTTCTCAGTAATCTGATCCTACCATGCTACCCTGCTGTCCAAACATACTTGTTGCAATACTTCATAGGCCCTATTCTAAAAGACAGTAATGATCTTAATCATATCACAAGTTGAAACTCTGCAAAGTTGAAAAACAATGCACAAACAATGCAGAAGACTGGTCTTAGTGCACATTAGGTAGTACCACTCCCTCATATTTAAAGAACTTTTTATGTTATATCAATACATCTGAGACGGTCATTCTCACCTAGGCTGTAACCATTTCATTATGGTTTGAGATGAGTTTCTAGAGTTCTTCTTGCTTCTCCTGTGAAAGGAATTCAGAGACATCACTAATACCATAAACACCAGTTTCAATACTAGTCATGTAGATGAAATGGGTTAAGAAAACTAGACCTTTAAATTCTTTCTTCACCCTGTGTACTCATGATCAGTGAACAGAATAACTGCACAAGACCAAAGTCAGAAGTCATTTTTCCCATAAGTATCTTGTGTGGTTGGACAGTCAGTTGTGAAAATCACTGAATTTTGTAAATGGAAATAACAATTTTGCATAGTCAGAGAAATAGGAACTGTTAAATGAATCAACAAAACAACGTGACCCTAACCGAAGAAATTCGGGAAAATTGTTCTGATATACAAACTCATAAAATCTGGGAATCTCAAAAAAGACTAATTAAAGGTTGGAGAGAATGCTTACCTGAACTATTTGGGGAGTAAACTCTACTAAGCTCTTTCTTGCAATTAAGTATAATTACATGCATATCTGACATAAGCTTCACCATCACATGCATGTAGCTATAGGAGTGGAAGATTATGATTTTGCAATGTCAAAACAAGTTTTCTTTTACACAGTGAATGGACAGAATGGCATTATTAGCTCAGCCATTGCAGAAAAACATAGTGCAAATAAGCAGATTGGCCTATGCCCTGGAGAGAGGTCATGGTACTTCTACATATTTATACATACACAATAATGTTCAGCTTGAAGAAAAACAAAAGAGGCCAAAGGGCTTACTGAAAGTGAGAGAGTGGCACTGCTTAGATTAGAACAGAAAGCTGCTAAAGGCTGGTATGCTTTGATATGCAAACCTAAATATTTTGGCAAAAGGGCAAGGGCTTACACGTGAATGCAAACAGCTGCATCTTTGAGTTAGTTTTCATGGAGTGGCTGGCAGTAGCAACAATAATACTTAGCACATTCATGGAACTACGTATGTTCAAAACACCAATAAACAGTTACCTAGCATGGTGGTAAAGTATAAGCTCCACTTTATAGCTAAGCAAACAAAGATACAGCTGACTACTGACTTGCCGAAAGCCACACCCAATTTAATGAGGAACAAAATTAAAATTTAAGAAATCTTACAGATGCCTTATGTAGTCACTATGGTGTTCTCCAAGCAAAACATACAAAATAATGTCATTTACACATTTAACTTTAGACTTACTGGAATGGAGCATACACATTGTCTAAAGAGCCTCTGCACCCAAGCCATTGTTTGCAAAATCAGATGTGACTGTGGTTATTAAAGAAGTATGACATACATGTATTAGAAACAGAACCAAAGAAAAAAATCTGTCCTATGTGAAAACCTAACTACATCTCTAATGCCAGAATGGCTGACACTGCTCCACAATGGGATGATGGACCTTCATCTCAAGTGTTGTAAGACCACTGCATCTACTGAAGGATTAAGTTTTATGATGCTCACTGGATCTGTTGCAGTTAATATAATTTGAGAAACTACCCTCAACATTTCATATTATAGCTGTCTTACCATTCTGAAGGATTCATTTGTGCCTCTTTAGTCATGGACTGGAATTGTTCAAGTAAACTGGAAAGCAACCAATGCACAGTCAGGACTGAACCAAGTTGTCTCATTGGGTCCACCATGTGATAAAGGTCGCGCACTAAAGTTTGAATCTGGGGTGCAGCAGAAGGGAAAAGCTGAGAAGAGAGACACTGATTAGAGGCTACACATTATAATATTTCTAAAATGCAAAGAAGAGAGAAATCATCAGATGACAGTGTATATAGTATATGAATAGATACATATTCATGCTCTTTCCACACGTGTAGAAAGTGACTGTCTTGCTCAGCCTTGCAAATCAGGATTACTAGTACTGACACGGAGGTCTTACTCCTTTGCCTCTCATGTGATTTTCACAAAGCCTCATCAGTCTCCAACCCTGATACTCATCCAGGAGGTCTAGAAGGAATCCTGATATCATGCACTTTCTGAACAATAGATACAGGTGCAGATCTTTTATTTCCCTAATACTCATCTTTTCCCCCATTAACTGCCATACCTATTCAGAGACACTGACTGTCCTCCACCTCTATTCTTCACCAAAAAGAAACTCTCTTGAAGTGTGAAGAAGATGACATATTACACTTTCTTTTTTTGCCACTCTTTCATCTATAACTATTATCTGGTCATGATCTCAGTGCTGTATTGTCTCCAGTTCTTCCATTCACACCCACTTTGCTGCATTACCATTCTATTTTCTTACCAGCTCATTAGTAATCTACATAATGTTCATCCTTTTCCTTTCATTCTATTTTCTGGTCTCTGTTTCTGCTTTAGCAGTCCTTTCCCAGGAATCCTGAAGTCAAATTACCAGTATTATTTATCTATTTTAATTTAAATTCCAAAAATCCTCCAAAATAAAATCAGTATAACTTCTATAGCCTTTTCCTATCCATCCAGCCTAATACATGTGCCAGAGACAGCAAAGAATGGCAATAAAAGAGAAATATAAGAGATTTACAAAAAATACATATCCAATGCAACAAAACCCTGTCATTTTACCAGCTCAAATTGTCCAAGACTCTTCAGCTCCCTGATGAAAGTTATCATTGAATTTATCTCTTCTAAAGATAAACATTGCTCATCTTCTCTGTGGTAAGTTCCATCCTATGAAGGAAAGGGCAGAATATTCTGGTCAAATCACATGGAAAGCAACACGCTTTCTTTAGACCCCGATCTTTTTGGTGATCAAAGGAACAGGCTGTAGAAGCTCTCAACTTGCTCTAACCTCATCCAAAGTCATGTCAAGCCAGCTCTTTGATAGCTCTTCCCATTTCTCAGTATGGAGTAAAGCAGACTGTGCATTAGCTTTGTGTAGAAAAGTACCCTTAGAAAGTACCATGAGAAGAGACCGCATAACGTATAGACAATGAAGTAGACACTGAAATGTGGTCTAGTCTCCTGTGGAATGTAGATTTAGGTTATCATATCATATATGAGTCCGTGTCTGCAGCTTCCTACTTTATCCTGTTGTTAATTTAGCACCCATGATCCTGTTTTAGCCGCACCTGTCTGAGAGGCAGAAGTTGCATGGCTAATTTAGTCCTTGTAAATCTTGCAAGCAGGTGGTTCCTCAGAAATGCACCCTTAAAAGTGACCAGACTGAAAGAAATACTGCTACAGGAGATCCCCACTTGTCAGAAATCATAATGTAAACTTTATGCAGATCTTATAAATGCAAAAAAAAAAAAGTAACTGGAACTTTCATTCAGACGAAGACACAAAGTTGTAGAAAACAAGTGAATTCTGATGCTCGTTAATCTCCTTGTCTGAGTTAGTCAATTCTCAGATTATGAAAAGACACAAACCTGTGTATTTAAAAAGACCACCTAAAAATGGTGGAGAAATTACTTTGTTAAAGGTTTAAATCTACCCTTAAAATACTGTACATTGGGGAACGATATAATTTGAGAGACAACTTTTTATTAAAACAAAATGTGATTGTTCAATATAATTACCATTTTATTCCCCAAAATTCAGTAACAGGTTTTGATTAAATAAATCCTTCATTCTGTAAGTTCACACCAAATTTTCAGAAAGGCATACAATCTAGAATTAAATATTTTCAAATAGTTAATAATAAGCAAAAGGTTTAATGAACTACCTTACTCACAGTTGATCCATATATTTTTTGTAAGGCTTCTACGAAGCTAGTTGTCGAGGATTCATTAGACAGGAGAAAATTAAAAGTATCTTCAAAAAGCAATTCTTTCAAAGCTTGGTCCTGAATTTTTGATTCATCCTCATCTTGAAAGTCAAAGTTTTCATGCACCTGTTGGAAAAAAGATTAAGAATTTACAGTCTGAACATCAAGTCTAGTCTTCTCATAACCACATATACCAAACTAATTATTTATTTAAAAACCAGATCATAATATTAATAGACAGGATTATAATCTAACGGATTCTGTACCACATTTTGCATCAGAACTACACATCACAATGTTTGCTGACCTCCAGTGGATAGAGTGTAATATTGCGTACTCCTGTGAAAGTTTTTTTCATGTTCTTGATTTGAAATTTAATTAAAAATAAAAATGTCAGTTTATATGTTAGTAACTCTTGCACAACTCTGGTATTTACGACTTGTGAAAGTATAAGTTTTGCAATACATAAACACAATGAATAAACTCATGTTCATAAAATACAAATAAATTAGTATTTTAACATAAAAACACAAAACCATGTAACTTCAAGCTGCCTGGGCTGTGTGGTTTCCAAAAGATATTATTCAATGTCAAAAATCATAGTAATTATCAACTGGGATTTTTTAGAGTAATTTGTGTTTTCATAAGAAACTATTCAACTTATTGACTGTACATTCATGGATTATAGCTGATGGTTGAGACTGCTATACAGGCAGGTAAACATTATGTGCTATGTTTAGTTTTTTAAGCAACTTCTGGCAGAATATTTTTTACATGGATTTTTTTTAACTTGTGCAAATTTTCTTTCATACGTCCATTTTTTCATTGTATTTCAAGGATCTTTGTTTTTGTGAAGGCTGGAGAGACTGACTGCACTCTTGTTACTAGAAACCTCAACAGATTTTTACTGAGGACACATTTTTAAAATGTTCTCTTGCAATTTCCTAGGATATATTTACTGGTTTTTTTTCTTTGTGTATCATAAATATGAACAAAGATTTTATGTACCTAGGTGTATACATATTTGTGTGTATATACAGGGGCAATGAGAAGCAGCTGGAAAGCAGTACAACTATTGTTTCCATCCCAGCTGTTCTGAGGTAAGAGTAGTACAAAACTGGCACAGGGAGTTTGTGCCCAGGTCATACTTCTCTGGTTTTGAGGGCCCTGAGGACCATGCAGGAAGAAGGCAGCAGGTCATGAGCCGGAGAAGTACAGTTCAATTCATGGAAAACTTCAATTTTTATTAAAAGCCAGTTGTGGTATTTTAACTTTCTCACTTCATGCCTGTTCTGGCACAGTTAATACCTGACTCTACCTTCATGCAATGCTTCCTGTGGATTTTGTTTCACTGATAGTTGGGGTGACAGTCCTTTAATGCTAAAGTGGAAACTTTAGTGGTGTGCCAAACTTCATCACAGGAACTCTATCCCTTACAAACTGGCAACTCCCCACTTTTAGGCAAAATTAATATTGATGTATTTGTATGTTTCTCAGAAATTTGAGGGTACCTGTCAAAGAGGGTTCCCTGCTGGTTCTTTTTGGTGTAATTTTTTTTTGGTCAAGAAATAACTTGTGTAATTTTCTCACCTTGAGAACAACTGGGTATATGGAGGTGCCAAATCCAATGTCAAAGGTTAGCATTTGAAAACATTGGCTGCATCTGAAATACAACATAATGGGAATCACATTCAATGATATAAGTACTCACAAAGCTGAGAATCATATAATCATTTAAGCTGGAATAAACCTTTCAGATCATCAAGTTCAAATGGCAACCTAACACTGCCAATTCCACCACTAAACCATGGCCCTATATATGCTACGACAACCACACACAGGTCCAGAGAACACACACAAGAACATACACACACAGGACAAGAGACAGCATGCAATACAGACTAAATAAAGTTTCTAAGAAAAGACAGCAGTATTAAAGATAGACGGAGTCAGACTGTGAGCCAATGAAAACAGTGCTATATTAAAGTGTATTTATATATGGGTGACTTTTAAACCAGTGAGGGAGGTGAAATACATGGGAGGAGAAAATGACTTTTGATGAGAATCAGCTCCTGCAAAAGTTCTGAAGACATCTGGAGGGCAACAGATGGTGAAACTCTCTGATTCACTGAAGCTAAAGAATTGGCAGCACCTATGGGGCTGTTTGAAAGCATGGGCCAGGAGCTGTAAGCAAGTCTTGGTCTAAACAAACCAGAGATATCCATCCCATTGGTAAAAAAATACCGAAATACCGGGCCACTGTCAAACTAGCTCCATCCCTGTTACACTGCTTCCCTCCTCGCTGCCCTCTCCGCTCACAATGTAAGCTTTATTTCTAACTTGTATAGGTCAAATAATGAGCTTTATATTATTGCTACTAAAACACCTGGGTTCTCAAACAGCTTTATAAAACATATAAATTTAATTAATAGTGACTTATTTCATATTTATAGCTAAAATGTCAGGGATGTGACATAACATATATATATAAAACAAATATTAATTTTAATTAATACAAATATTACATAAAGGTGATTTATGTGTAAGAACTTTAACACTCTAATAGAAATTATTACAATGATTTAAAACCCACACAAATGTGACTGTTGCTGACTAGGTATTTACTACTGTATATTTCATAAAGTATTCTACAGCGTCTCTTGTTCAGCTTGCCTGCCACAGCCAGCTCCGAACCGTCTGGACTACTCTAACATTAAATCTTTGACAGAAGACAAAAGGCTCATTGAAGGGAAATACAGCTTTATGTATGTTAGAACTAGGCCAATTGTGAGAGATTTCTGTTCATTTGTGCTGCCTGAAATACTTAATCAGGACACAGTATCTGGTCCTAAGTATCCATCATAATCTTTCACAAACTATAAGCATTGTGGATATTGAAGAGTTTTACTCCTATATCCACCATGTTGTCACTTTAAGAGGAAGTATGAAATAGAGGTGAATATCTCATTTTAGGAGTCATGTATCCTTTACAATTTTTATTCTGTTCTAAGGAGATATTTTGACAATAACATGTCAATGACCACTGCAAGTCACTTACTGATTGAAAGAATTTGGTCCTGAGGCAGACGATTCACTGAAGACCTCAGTCATAAGCAGAAGTTTGCTTATAGCTTCCTTCATGTTGTTGAAGGCTTGTTGGGGAGAACTGCTTCTGAAGAATATCTCAAAAAACCTTTGCAGCTGTAAAAAAGATTACATGTATTTTTGAACATTACAGTAAATCATGCACTGAAAGGCTAGTAGAAGTAAAAATTGCTTTAGAATGTCAGCTTCAGATCTTATTCATTTGAAGAGTAGAGTGGCATGAAAAGCTCCATACTGCATACTAGTACAGAATGACTCCTTGTATAAAAATAAGCATATCACAAATAAACTCTGTATTAATGGTTTTAAAAAATACTCACAGACTCAGACTTTGCTCACAGACTAAGCTGACTTTGACAAAACATTTTGCTCTCACTGGTTCTAGGCAACGATAACCACAGACACTTATTTCTTCAGCAGTAGGTAATAGCACACTCAAAGCAAAAGCATTTTTTCCTGTTAACATACTGTGCCAAGGACTATCCCACTTAACCTTGACTACAAACCCTTACTCCAGGTTAACAAGCTTTAAACAGAATACAGAAGAAAGATGTTGAAAAAAAAGTCACCGCAGTCTGTGTTTTGACTGAACTCTTGTACATCCTGAGGCTTCTGGACTCGTGAATCTTCCCAGTGGCATAATCACTGGCCTGCACAACACTGTCCTCAGCTGTTTTCATCACTTATGTGAATTCACCCCCCTCATCACTTCAGATAAGACTTAAGAAAATGACAGGAGCAACACAGAGCTCCAGTGAAGAGTGGGACACTGACAGGTTTTGTTGCATCAGAGCCCTTTGTGCTAAAAAACGGGCTGCCTTTAAATCATATTTCCATTATAGTTATTACACAGCACATAACACAATTAGTGTATCAACTATGTAAAACTGTTAGATAATTTAGTAGTACTGTATTATGAAAAAGATACATTTTTATAGTAAAAGTACTATCTCCAAAGATAAAGCACAAAAAAAAAATACACATAGAACATGTTCTGTATTGACATTCAGAAAAGAAAAATATCTGATTATTTCCAATAATTTCCCTACTTAATGGACTTAGAAATGTCATTGTATATTTTCTATCACATACTTATACATGTTCCACTGGGATAACATGGTGGAAGCGTGCAGCTTCAGTAGACACCCCACTGGAGTTCGATATGGTTGTCACCTCTCCAGCTGCCTTTGACTACTACAGTCAAGAACAAGAACCCACAGTAGATGAGTTAACCAAGCCTTGCCTTTAGCAAGTTCACAACAAGGTTTAATGTGGTATTTTGACTCTAAAGCATGATGAGAGAATTACAGAACCACAGAAGGACTGAGATCAGAAGGGCCCTCTGGAGGTCATTTTGACCTTCCCCCGATTAAGCAGGGTCATCTACAGTGCTTTGCCCAGGACTGAATCCAGACATCTTTTGAATATGTCCAGGACGAAGACTCCACAACCTCTCTGGGCAACCTCTGCCAGTGCTCAGTTACTCTCAGAGTGAAAAAGTATTTCCTGATGTTCAGAAGGAATCTCATGTGTTTTAGTTTGTGCCCCTCTTTACAGCCTCCCTTCATAAACATTGGCGAGACCTCCCTAAGCACCTGTGAAACTTCTCCAGCCTTTCCTCATGTAAGAAATGTCACAGTCCTTAATCATCTCTCCCCTGGGCTCTCTGCACATCACTTTTGTACTGGAGAGTCCAGAACTGGACACAGTACTCCAGGTATGCCACACGGGCAGACTGCTGGTCAACCTGGTGTCCACCAGGACCCCTAAGCCCTTTTCCACAGAGCTGCTCTCCAGAATGCTGGTCTCCAGCAGGTACTGGTGCCTGGGGCTGTTCCTTCTCAGGTACTGAACTTTACACTTCCCCTTGTTAAACTTCATGAGGCTCCTGTTGGACCGTTTCTCCAGCCTGGTGAGGTTGCTCTGGATGGCAGCATGACTCTGATGTACCAGCCATTCCTCCTAGCTTTGTGTCATTAGAGGGTACACTCTGTCCCATCATCCAAACATTTAACAAATATGTTGAACATGAATGGACCCAGTAGGGATCTCAGGGATACACTGCTGGTTACTGGTGATGTGTTATGATGTATTTGCTATTCTGACACCAGATCTTACACTATACTTCTGTGCAGCCTAATCCACAGAATTTTCTAGACAGTCCTGGAGCCTCCCCTTGTGAGCATGAATACTGCTAAACACACTGGTCTGCATGGGCATGGATGAATATTTTTCAGTTTCTTCAAGCAGCATATTGCAGTTAAATGTAATAAGCACTTTTTCCACCTTTCCTTTTCAAAAAATCCTGTATTATTGCCTACAGCCAGCCACAGGAAATGCTCAAATATGCACTAACAGTGATCCTCCTTCGCTTTCTGCTCTCTTCAGTTCCAGTAACTTCATACTGTTGTGCTGGTAAATAACTGGACGGTAAGAAGTTGGTCTGCCTGTTTTCCTGTTTTTATCACCTCTGTTTTCATTCTAACAAGTGGTTCCCTTTCCAAGCTTTACTGAATAAAAGTCCCCCATGCACATACCTGGACAGAAGGTTTGCAGTGACTGGGACTTTCCCCCCTCTTTCTGATAAAACTATTTGAAATGCTAATAGGAAAAAAAATACAACAATATGCATGACTGAAGTCATAAAATTAAACCTCAGACTGCCAGGAAGCTGCAAAGTGAAGGTTGCACATGTAGCCCCAACTCTGCCCTTTGGATATTCACATGATGTGGAAATCTTGAATGACATCACACTGTATTTTTAAGCCATAGAAAGTTTTCCACGTGTACTGCTATTCCATGAGTCTCTAGGGCAAAAGTGCCCCGGAACTGCTATTTATAAAGAGATTATCCAAATCCTCAGGTCATGCTTTATTTGCCTGGCACAACAGGCTGAAAGGGAGTCTGTGTTTCTCAAGGTCTGAGATCATCAAAGCTGTGTTTCTCCCATAGAGCAGTACAACAATTAAGAACAAAAAGCTACATGCTTTCCAAATCACTTCTGATTTAGATTAATCTACCAGTTAAACTGTCTCATTTCAGTTCCTGGTTCAGGCAAAAAACAGTTAATTAAACTGTTCATTTGACATTAAAAAAATAAAATGAAGACTCATTTCACCAAGGGGGACCTACATGGTGGTTCTTCAGCTGACTTTAACAACCATTTCCGGCATCTCTGCCAGATCCTGCACACCATACATATTCCTGTTAAACTGGCTTGCACCTTTTCTCTGTTTTCCTAAATCTGCAGTAGGCATTGAGGGGCTAAGTGAAAAAATGTGGAACACAAAAAAGTTACAGAATTTTATGAGGAGAAATGGGGATTATTGGAAGGAGGGGCAAAAGGGACAGAAAATCCTCATTATTCATTTTCTCCTCACTGTAAATAAATTCTTAAGCATCTGAACAAAAAGGATAAGCAATGCATATATTTTCTAGCAAGAACTGATGAAAGACAGGCTGATTTGCCCTGTCTGCACCCCTAGCGAGCTGTTGGCTATAATAGCCAACTGTTTCCAACACAATAGGCATTAAAATAAAACTGGCTTCGCCAAGGAACTGTCTTTTAGCTACAGCCCTCCTTAGCCAGACTAGAAAAGAAACATTGCTCAACAGGTTCTCATTAGGGGATATCAGGTTTTAGGACAATGTTTATTCTAAGCCAATGACTGAAAATAAATATTTAGTCAGGCTGGTTCAGGACCAGTGGAGACAAGAGATGAAAACTTCATGTTAAATTCCAATTCATGAAAAAAATGCTATTTAAACAAGTTCAAGTTAGTTTTGACTGCTACAGATCCAACAGGATTCTCAGCAACTGATGGGGAAAATGTAAACTATATGGATTAGGGGTGACAAAGTCTGAAAGCCTGCAACAGCCTCCAGTTCTTCTGAGTGCTCCCAACAAAGTTATATAAATATCTATGTTCAACTGCAGTATACAGAAGTCACTGAATTGAAGGTTTCTTCAGATGATCACCATTGACACTAGTTCTCTCACCTTCAGAAGAAACAGACGTGTCCAGCAAGATCCAATCTCATTGGATAAATCCCATTGATCGATCATGATTAAAAGCAGCATTGAATAGTAGAAAGATTACAGAATTGGCAAAACTGTTGGCAGTCACAGGAAGTTAGTCTGGGAGAAAGCTGACCTCTGGCTGGCAAATTTTCAAACAGAGGGATTACATTTTAGTAGGCTGTAAAACTTAACGTTGATATGCACATATATTATATACAATGACACCATTGTATACAGAATTGCAAGACTTCTCAGGAGCTGAAAGATGTTCATCCACATGCTGAATGCATATAGTTGGAGGTACATTCCACATATTTATGTAATTCTTGAAGGAAGTGTGTAAATGCAGCTAAGTTACATGGGTCAAGCACACATTTTCTGTAAAGGCAGAATGAACTAGGAATATTCTTGAGATTAATTTTAACTCATTGACCTTTTGCTCAAGGATAACTACTTCTGCTTTAGGATAGCCACTAATCAATATTAATTTTACAATGTTTTTTCTCTACCTGCTTTGGCATCCACCTTCTACAGTCTGCAGTCATTAAAGTAAGGTTTATGATCTCAGCAACATGGATCTCTTTGGCTCCTCAAAAATACACTGAACCAATAATGTAAGGCCTGAGGAAGACATCATTTCCCAAAGGAAATGCCACATTTACACTGGCACCGCTGAATGGAAATATTTTCCCATTGTGCAGAATGAAGATCTATTTTTCACCAGGCAGCTTTCCCCAGCCTCCCTGGAGCCAACAAATGGAAAAAAGAATTCTGATTTGAAAGCTTCATTCACAGAGTCATGGGGACTCAAGAAGAGTGGAAGCGCAGGCACCTGCAGGGCTGAATGCTGTAGTGACTGTAGTAACTCCCTTGAGAGAATTTTCCTCTGGCAATTTTTCTGCAAATTAATTTCTTAGGAGAGATGCTGGAGCAGCAAACTGGGGATTGCCCTGAGAAAGAATATAAAACCACACTGTAGGGATCTTTCTGGGATTACCTTCTATCTCAGTCCTAGCATAGCCTTGCCTCCTGATGAGATAAGAAATATTTTCTTCAACTAACCTTAGGAAAGGCA